GCTGATTTTGAATTGGCTTCGGCCCATATTCAGCCTCATTGCCCGGTTGCCAAGCGAAACCTAGGAGGCAAGCGCCAGAGTGCAGAAATTTCTGCTCTTGAGGTTGACACTGGTGATGTTGACATTGGCGTCCATCTTCGCTTCCACACCCTACCAGAGTACCAGAAACTTGAAAACGACGAGAGAAAGGAACTTGCGGAGTGGCGACTGACTCCAGCTGGCAAAGCAGCCCCAGCCGCAGGCATCCTGCTAAGAGATAGCAAGAAGCAGAGTGGAAAGGGATCCCCGAAGAAAGGGAAGAAAAGCTATGCCAAAGTGTCAGCTGCGTTGGTCAAGAAGCAAGTTGCTAAGGCCCTCAAAGCGAGTAAAGAAAAGGACAAGAAGACATCTGAGCAAGTGAAGAAGGATGCACTGCTAGCGTCACTCCTTGCTGATGCTTCTAACGATCCTGCAATGCAAGCCAAATACAACATCGGAGCAATCCATGCTGATGAGGTTCAAGAAGACGCCAAACCATCCGCTCGTGCATCCATCGTCGTTGAGAGTCAGAAGAAGCGCAGTACCGCTTTTTACCCCAACGGGATTGCAAGCATTATGGAAAAGGGGCACAATTCTGACAAGGATTGAAGATGGCCGGCCCGGACGATTGCCTCGACCCAAGTTAGGCACATTGTCCTGCAGCCGGACCTACCGTGGGATACTGGACCACCATCCTCTAACCTAAACACTGAACGACCGGATGCTTCGATACAGACGACTCACCCAATACTTCTTCATGGATACGTTTTTTTGCCACAAAGAAAGGAGGGAAGTCTGCTTGAGGAAATACTTGTTACCAACTCTTTGTCACTGACAAAGGATTTGTATATGTGGTACCTATGCGTACCAAGAAAGATGTCACCCTGGCCGTCAAGCAATTTGAAAAAGAGATTGGAGTCCCCCATGCAATTGTCTGTGACGCGGCAGGTGAGCAGACGTCTATTGAACTCAGAAGATTCCTAAATAGCATTGGGACCACTATCCGGGTCCTCAAACAAGGAACCCCGTGGGCCAATCGAGCTGAACTGTATGTAGGATTAATGAAAGAGGCAGTCCGTCGTGACATGAGGGACTCCAACTGCCCCTTCGTCTTCTGGGATTATTGTGTTGAGCGAAGAGCTCGTGTCAACAACTTGACTGCAAAAGATTCGTTTCAATTGCGCGGTCAAACCCCCCAAACCGAAGTAACCGGAGATCCAGGCGACATTTCGAATTTGTGTCGTTTTGGCTGGTACGAGTGGTGCTATGCCATGAATAAGAACATTGCTTTTCCACACAACAAGGAAATCCTTGGGAGAGTTCTTGGCCCAGCAACCGGTATGGGGAATGAGATGTGTCAGTGGGTATTGCAAGGTAACGGAACAGTCATCTCCCGTCGCACCGTCCGCCCACTGAAGACTGAAGAAATCCATTTGCCTGAAGAAGAACAAAAGAGACAACTCTATGATAGCTTGATTGAAAAGAAGCATGGCCCTAGCTTCATCAAACTTGAGAAGGATCTTGATTCTGAGGAGGATGGTACCACCACAAATGCTCATAATATGTCAAATGGAGTTGCTTCAGAGGAGGAAGAGGATCATTGGGAACTGTACGAAGATGATGAACAGTTTGCCCGGCCGATGCCTGACGTTGAGGATCAACTTGACATTCATGGTCATTTGATCAACCAACAGCCGGCATATGACCTTTTGCTGAATCTGGAAATCCGTAATGAATCTGGTGAACATGGAAAGGTTGTCCAACAAATTGTTAGTCCTGATGGCCGCCAAATGGGCTCGTACGATGAAAATCCTGCATTGAATACCATTATGTACGAAGTCGAGTTCAATGATGGTGCTATCAAGGAATATGGCGCGACAACTATTGCCGAAAACATTCTAACCCAAGTCGATGACGATGGATTCTCTAGCCCAATGCTCAAAGCAATCGTGGACTGGAGGAAAGATCCGAAGACAGCTGTGAGAAAGAAGGACCAGTATGTCCAATCTCATAGTGGCAGACGTCAACGTAAGACCACAAAGGGTTGGGAGCACAAGATTCTCTGGAGTGATGACAGCCACAGTTGGATTGATTTGAAGGATATGAAAGAATCGAACCCTGTAGATGTGGCCGAGTTTGCAGTTGCAAAGAAGATTGATGACGAACCTGCCTTCAAATGGTGGGTACCGTACACTATTCGCAAGCGAGATGTGATTATTTCAGCAGTGAAATCAAGAGCAAGAAAGACCACAGACAAGTACGGTGCTGAATTACAAACTAGTGTGGCACATGCAAAGAGACTTGATGCTCAAAATGGAAACAACCTGTGGATCACAGCGTTGCAATTGGAAATGACGCAGCTTGGTGTTGCGATTGAGCTACAAGACAATGGGATTCAAGCTCCCCCAGGATGGTCCCAAATATCGGGACACCTGGTCTGGGATGTGAAGATTGACTTCACCCGGAAGGCTAGATGGGTCCTAGACGGACACAAGACGCCTGATCCAACTTGTTCTCAATATGCTGGAGTGGTGTTGAGAGAGAGTGTGCGCATTGCGTTCACCTACGCTGCATTGAATGATCTCGAAGTATGCATGGCGGACATTAGAAATGCATACCTCCAAGCCCCGTCGTCACAGAAGGATTATATCGTTTGTGGCCCAGAGTTTGGATTGGAAAACGTTGGCAAGGTTGCTCTTATTCATCGTGCAATTTATGGCGGCAAAACTGCTGGACGTGTTTTCAGAAATCATCTACGTGCTTGTATGCGACACCTGGGATTCGAGTCTTGCCCGGCCGACCTGGATGTTTGGATGAGGCCTGCTATTAAAGCCGATGGACAAGAATATTAGGAATACATACTGCTGTACACCGATGACTGCCTCTGTGTATCTGAACATCCAGAACGAACGCTAAGAAACCAAGTTGGGAAGTATTTTCTGTTGAAAGATAAGAGCATTGGTCCACCAAAGATCTATCTTGGCGGTAATGT